TCCAACGCAGGAATACTTTAATATTGGCTCCAAGTTCTACTTTGTATGGCACGCACGGGTGACCTGGATGGAAGCGGCCCACGTTTGTCGACGTATGGGTGGCGATCTTGTCGTATTCGAGTCGGCCTCGGAGTTGCATCAGGTTTCTAGGTATCTAATCAGCCAAGGGTACCAAAACGCTTGGCTCTGGACATCAGGCAACGCCCTGTCCAGTGATCATTTCACCTCCCTAACAACAGGCATGAGATTGCCATTCACTGAATGGGCCCCAGGACAGCCTGATAATGCGGGTGGCAACGAAAAATGCGTCCATTTGTGGGTACGTAACGGATCTTTCAAAATGAACGACTGGGTATGCCGTGAGAAAGCCAAGGTCCTATGCCAAAATCAAAATCATACACGCTGCTGGGAAAATGATTCGTAATCTGGTTTCAATGGCTATCTGCTTCCTGACTCGCTAATTAACTAAAATCTAAAGGCTTATTCTTAATGTGCTGTATGACCCAGATAATATAATACAAAATTTAAAAAATAATAATAATTAGAAAATAAATAAATTTGAATCAAAAATGTAATCAAAAAACTTTTTTTAATTTGAAGGGCACAGATCACAAGTGCAAAGTATTAAGCAGTCGGCTCGGCTTGATAACAACATTGGCGAGACAGTTTTTGTTTCTTTTTCTTTTATTTCTTTTAATATGATTATCTAAGCATGTGTTGATTTTTCGTGCTCGCGCTGCGTTGCTTTTCCAACTGTCAACGGCGCACAGCCGTCGAATGATTCGCAGATTCTGTTTGACATTTTATCCGGTTTTTCATTAATGAACATGAATGAGGAAGAGAGAGAGAGAGAGAGAGAGAGCGAGAGACTGAAGGAACACACGCACTGAACGCGACAAACACGACAACACGGCTATGGTCATTTGATTTATAGTGCGAGTCTAGTCAACGAGGCTGGAGAGGGATACGAACACTGAAAGAAATTCGGCAGTACGTTACGCTCAGTTTCAGTTGGTCATCGGAGCACCCTAATGAAGATAATTTATTATGCGATGCCGTTTAATTAAAATCAGATAACCGCAGATCGTTCGCTGGCCATCAACTCCTTCCAGCAGGCTCCAGCAGGCTGGATACACACGTACATACATACATACATACATGTATATCCGAACGATCCATCGCGCTGTGGCTGTAGCTCAGCTCCAACTGACAAAGGCTACTCCTCCTGCGCATCCGTTGCCGCAATCCCAGACATTGACTTTGTAGCTCTGAGGAAATGCTCTGACGTTTGTAGCCTGAAGCTGATGCTGCCGTTGTTGTTGCCTTATAACAAGGGTATATCGGTTTAATGTAAAGGTCTGCAACAGTCGAAAGCAGACAGGTTTAGACTCATAGAGAACATGCTTGATCTATAGAGAGATACTTGAAATTTTAATTACATATTCAATTGAACCACAAACGAATATAGTTAATTTTTTGCATTTGATTAGGAACATTCGCCTAGAGACAGACGAACATTTGTTAAGGAAGCTAGGATTATCGCATTCAAATGGTAGTGCATCTCATTGTCGGCAATGCTCGGCTAGAGCACTCTTACTGCATGTTGTTCTTGTTGCTGTTGTTGTTGTCTGTTTGTTAATTTCCCAGGCGCAGGCCAACAAGATTTCGCGTTAAGTTCAACAACTTGAAGGCAACAAAGTTGTTGCCGGTCAAAAACGTCGCATCGCCGGTGGCAGCTGCGACTGCCCCACAGTTTCGTCGATAGCCATGGATGATTGCGATTGGTTCCTTATCAGGATCTTGCTTGGGCCAATCTCATTTGCTTTGTTGCCCTTCGGCTGAAACTTTTTGTCTTTTTTTTTTTTGTGGTTGCTTTTAATGGTTCGCTTTATTATGGCTGCGGCCTTCATTATCGGCCTATGCAAATGATTTTTAATTGTCTGTCCGGCTAGTTAAGCTGCTGGAAATCTCTATTTAAACGACTTAATGACGGACCTAAGTATCCGGACCACACAAACATTGACTCGACCGGCATGCGGCATGAGTCAGTGCGCTGATCATAAATATTTATTCATAAAAACGTGGCACAAAATTTGTATGCGCCCATTTTTGGCACTTTCGCAAATTTGCATAGACAAAATGGTTGTGTGGCTCTTACAGAGCTCAGCGGGGGCGCAGCAAGAGGGGGCAACCAGGTGGACTAACGTTCGCACTCTGTTCATTTCACTTCACTTAGTGGGCGGAGCCTAGAGCTGTGTCTAGCGGGCATTTAAGAGAGCGGCAAGAGCTTTGGCTAAGAGCACCATTTGCTCTTCAGCTGAAGCTGCGCTAGTTACAACGGCAAAGAGAAGAGTAGAGTAGACTTCGCCCACTCTCCGGTGCGCTCTCTCGCTCTCGTGTAATTAAACTCGCTTGCAGCACAGAGATCAATCACAGGTGCACAGTTCCGCGACACAGTTAGACAGTCACTGGAAATGCATAAAGGCAAGTTTCCATGCGTGAGCCGCGGCTTGTCATAAATCAAGCCGAGAGCAGAGAGTGTGAAATTTTTACCGGCCAACTTTATGTGTGTCGCGCACATTTTTAGCCATTTATGACTTAATTTCAATTATACGTATTTGGCCAAATTATTTGTTGACACTTTGGGGGCAATTAAAATGGCAACACGTGCAACATAACGCGGCCAAAGATGCGAACTCTGTTTTAATTAAAAGCAGCCTAACTAATATTTGGATCGAGTATAGCTGGAATAGAAGAAAATTATAAATACTGATAAATATATGTATAAATACTATAAATATTTATTCAAAAATATGCCTACATATATGTATAATAAAAGTTGCAGATAAATTACCTAATTAGTCCTAATCTAAGCTATCTCTGATACCTAATCTATAATAGAATAAAAATGCATATGCTGCATTGTCTTGGCCACAACCGAAGATATTTTGAAACTCTTTGAGCCACCTGAGCTTTGCCGAACAGTTCAGCTCGTGGCGCACCTTGCGCTTCGCAATTGAGTGCAAGGTGCAGCAGAGAGCGACTCAACTTTTGGTGGACAACGCCCCGACAGCCCTCAGCTTAGCCGGCAAACGGTGGCATCGATTTTAGAAAGTCTGCTCAAAATCGCAGCGCTTAAAACGGTAAAGCCGAAGCCTTTTCCTTTTTGGCCAGCAACAGGAGCGGAAAAGCATCGTTTTTATATGTATGTATAGACTTACATACATATATATATATAACTTATTGCAGACATTTGGCCTTTTATTAATTGTTTGACGGCGCCCGTGCCCATGAAGCTGCTGCTGCTCTCCCAGAAGCCCTCTCCACGCTGGATTTGCCTTGCTCTGTGGCAGTGTCTGGGCGTGATGAGAAATTTAATATTGGCAAACGGATAAAACCGCCAGATAATTATACATTTTGAGTGGCCCAAGCTGCAGTTGCGGCTGCAGTCTGGCTTACTGGCCACCAGTTTGCAGTGTTTTCTTTTTCCAGTTCATGATAGTATAAGATTTCATTTCATTAAAGTGCATCACGACGGACAACGGACAGCAGACGGCCAGCTGCTGGCTGCTGGATGGAATCAATGAGCGACCGCTAACATAGTTGAGACGCTGCAGTCGTTGCCCGTTCCGGCCTATACCGCCCCAATCCGCCCGCCATGCTACTAGCCCAGCCAGCTACCAGCCGGCCAGTCGGCCAGCCGAACAAAACCTTCCTTGCTTACTTTTCTTCTTATTGGCAGATTACGGCTGCGGGGTGGATCGCTGGTACGTACCAACTTATAATCAAATCCGATAAAAAAATTTCATTATTGCAACGGCAGCAACAACAACAGCGGCAGCAGCGCCCATAACTGTTTTGCAGGCAATCTTTGTAGTAGTAGTAGTTGTTGTTGTTGTTATGATTGTTGCTGGCTGCACTTAATTTTCGCATGCGCACTGAGAGCTCATGATCGCGATTTGTTCGTTCCGTTCGTTTCGCTCCCTGCCGTTCCGCAGCATACGCCATTTTGATTTTTAGTTCTCAGCCACCGCAAGTCTGGGGTCAGCAGCAAGGAATAGAAAGAAGCTTTGATTTCAAATAGCATTATCTAGTTGTTGTTGTTGCTGCTGCTGCTGCTGCTGCTGCTCCGTTGCTCTAGCAACATAAATTGGGACGTGATTATGAAATAATTGCAGATCTGTTTTGGTTGCTTGTACCTGGATCTTGCGCAATGTACGGCCAAAGTTAATGCCAATCAGTCGCCAGTTGATTTAAGATCAGCTCATGACGAGAACGTGTTGAGGCAACAGCGCGATCACAACACCTTGGGGAGTTTGACACGAACAGGAGCAATGACAGGGCGACAGTTGATGCGTGACAGCCATATCAGCAGCGATCGCAAAGGGAGCACACAAAAGCCCATTCAGAAGCAGTACAATGTATGTTTATACATCTTATACATTTGAACCGGAAGTAAAATAAATCAGAAATATAGATATACATACATATATGCATTTATGTGCATACATATGCATGCTCTGAATGGCTATATGAAAAGCAAGTCATTCGAATCCGTATGAATTGTATGGAGTTGTTTAACACTAAAAAATCTGTTACAAAATACAAAATGCGCTAACAATTGTATTTTAGTATTTTTTCGAAATCGAATGCAAATTCAAATTACGAGGCATAATCAAACCACTTTTTATATTCATATGTATAAGCAACAACTTGTTAATAGGAATCCTTGAACGGCATGAAAATTAACAAGTGCAACTCCCACAAACAACTCAGGAGTGTGTCATGCGAATTATGCAGAGGCTTACCCGTAAATACGTTCACGTCCGCAGCTACTTGAGAGACGGTTGGAGCTCGGCTACTGCTCGTTTTCCATATACACATACATATGCAAATTAAATATAATTTCAACACTCGCATTGCTGTTGATTCTTTTGCTGCCGTACGTACATATGTCCATAATTTACATGAGGTTAACACGCAAGCAAACAGGCGGCAACAGATGCCTCAGGACTGGCCTTGATTATCTACTGTTAAATCGAATGCACGCACACACCGGCATACAATGAGGCTACAGTAACAGCAACAACAATAGCTGCAACAGGAGCAGCGAACAGCGCATCAAGTTTGTAAAGTTTAAAAAGAAATTCTATTGCAGCGTTGAATGTTGAAATATTGCCAAATCATGGCTTTGAAGTAAATAAATTTCCACGCCACCGCTCGCCGTGACCGCTGAACTTCTGACGTCGGCACTGGCAGTGGCAGGGAAAGAGTCAGGGGCTGGGACAGAGGCAAAGGAGTAGCAGCAGCAGCAGCAGCAGCTAAAATGCCTGGCCGTGTATAAATAAGTAACCTGAGCCGCGCAACACGCTGCCTGACAGCCCAAAAACGGCACACGGCTTGGCTTGGCTTCGGTGGGATCGGATTGGATCGGCTGGGCAGTGACTGGGTTGCCAACTTGTTCAGATGCCGCTGCTGCAGAAGCTGCCTGCCCCTTTTGCAGATTGCTGCAGCTCGCGTGTGCGCCTGGCGGCTTTTTGATTTATTTGCGATTTATGCACTTGGCTGCTGCTGTCAGCTGGCTCGGCCATCGGCTCTCGTGAATGCTCTTCATACCCTGAACATTGAAGATGACTAAAGAGGGCACAATGTTTCTGCTAAAAAGCTTGTAACATACACAACGAGGAGTGGTTGAGCTTTATAAAAAGCAATATACGACTCGTCATACCAGAGTCCCTCTATATAAAAACGAACTAGGCTTAGTTTTGAATCATCGATATATAAAACCATTTTATGGTTATTCTAATTTAGAGATTTATTGCATTTTGAACTTGACAATGCCCGATTTTTTAAATCGGGCTAAATTGAATAGCTTGTGAAATTTGTGTATCAATTAATCTCAATCAGTTTTTAGGCAGCATTAGGATGTGAAGTGTATTGGCTTGTCGGGTACGCCCGACTACAGCGTTCTTACTTGGCTATTTTGGCTTTCAGTTGCAGACACATTTTTGCGCATCCACTTGACCGATTTCCACTAGTTAAAGGACTGCATATCGTTGCTTTATACGAAAACGTAACGATAAACAAAATATCCACATATTTATTTTTCTATGCATGTATGTATAAGTAAACACAGGGTAGACTCGAAAGGCATTGCAATTTGGGTACGCTACGCACATTAACTGGTTCAGATGTGATTTTTAAAGCATGTGAAGTTCTCTGTGTGTATATTTAACGTCTAATGTTCAGCGCAGAGTATTATCGTTATGGAGATGTTATCAACGCAGATAACACAAATGCGTGATTACAGCGGATGATAAAAGGTCTAAGCATTTGCGGGAGCTTTGTTTGCAAAGAACCACAGAAGACCCATTAGGCAACTGGGTGGGCTGTTATTGACGGCACCCTGCTGCACCATTTTCTTTGCCTCATCCAGTGATAGTTCCACCACCTCAATCAATTCATCTTCCACGCCGCCGCCGCTATTGACTTTATCCGCGTCAGTTACTTCGCAGTAGTACATCGCTTGCTTGGCACCCGAAGAGCCAACACCAGACCTGCAAGGGCGAAAGGAGTGTGGAATGATTTTCCTGATTACGAAGTTCTTTTATCGGCATACCTGTAGTTCATGACTTCCTCAATGCGGTCCACGGACACTTCATACCCACATTCTTCAAGCACCTCTTCACGAGCGATTTCTTTCCAGCTTTTGGACTTATCCACAATACCAGCGCACAATTCCAATGTCACGCCGATCGATGGCGGAAAGGCCTCCAAATCGACATTGTCGAAGCTACCCTCCTTACTAGCTATCACACCATGATAAACAGCCGGTCTAAATTGACGCACAAGCACAAGTTTTTGACGTGTCGTGTTGAACAGTATAATCGCAACACTGTCGTGTACTTTCAGTAGATCCCAATTTTTTTCAACGCCATTTTGCACGTAATACATGCGAAATGGTTTTACATAGGGCGAGTCAGCAGGCAGCGGACCCAACCAGATCTTCGAAATGTTTTCCATTTTAGAACAAATCAAACTGTGGGCTACAGCTGATTCCGGTGAAAAAACAACCGATGTGCTATGAAAACTTACACAAAGCTTTTTTGATATTTAACACTAAACAGTTATATGGTCACACTCAAATTTAAATTTGACTTTCAGTTAAGTCTTGTTGGCGAAAAACCAAAGTGTGCCTGCTATTGTGGCCGGACCGCTATTTATTTTTGAACCCTTCTTTACAAAATTTTTTGCTTCATCAATAGATAGCTCCATAACCTGAATGACCTCAGTATCAATTCCGCCGCCATCGGCTACTTTTTCCTCATCACAAACTTCACAGTAGTACACATTATGGGCACTGCTGGAAGTGCCAACGCCGGATCGGTACTCAAAGACATGCTCCAACTTTTCAACGGAAACATCATAGCCACATTCTTCGAACACTTCCTCTCTAGCTATTTCCGCCAAGCTTTTATCTTTATCCACCATACCTGCACAGGACTCCAGCGTCATACCCAGTTCATACGGATATTGCATTAAATCAATGTCCTCCTTGGGTAACTCACGAAAGTTATTTATTATTAAGCCATAATATACAGCTGGCCGGAATTGACGTACAAAAAGAAGCTTCTGTCTTGAAATATTGTACAAGACTATAGACACACTATCCTGTACTTTAAATATATCGTACATCTTTGTTTTTCCATTTTCAATATATTGCACCTGAACTGGTACTAACCATTTAGAAACCTCGGGCAGCGGAGAGAAACAAATTTTCGTTACATTACTTAGTTGCTGCCCATGGGGAAGTTTTGCATTCGAGCTGTAACCACTGCTATAACGCAAGGCAAGAGCAGCAAGCGACTTCAGCATTCCCGATAAATAAGCGTATGCCTATCGATTAAAATCTTCCAGCTGTTCGTGTCGAAAAAATTTTTGTGGTGGCAGGTAAAAAGTGTTGTGTAGGAGAATAAAATATTCTGACATTCAATTGGGGCGAGAAGACGTTCGTCGGTGTGTATAAATTTGTTTTAGTTTTATTAGGTAATGCCAAAATTTTCAAAACAACCTTATTAATAGAAAGCATACAAAACAGTTAGAAAACGGTCAACGAAACAAGCCATAATGCTGCGTTCTAGACTCTCCCAAGTGGCCTGTGCCGCCCAGCGCGCATTCTCCACGAGTCCCAGAGCTTTGGCCGCCAAGCAAATGACCGTACGCGATGGACTAAACAGCGCCCTAGACGATGAATTAGCCCGGGATGATCGTGTCTTTTTGCTCGGCGAGGAGGTGGCACAATATGATGGCGCCTACAAGGTGAGTAAAAGATTTGACTTTGCCACTTGTAAGATGATTACGTAAACAGGCCAAGTGACAGCTAGCAATGACAGCTGTTTGGGTTAGGGGGTAGCGCGGGGTCCGTCATACAACAGTTGCAACGGATTCGCCCACGGCGCTGATTACAGATAACAATTTCAGAGCTCATTTGTTTTCTTTAATGTGCTGCGTGATTGGTAGAGGTCAAACTTAGATTATGACGGCCGATAAAGCACGCACCGATAATGAACACAATCGATAAATCCTTTTTGTTTACAAGGCGTAATTGAAATTTTGTCGTGTGATTTTGGTACACTTTTTGTCGATGCAAAATATATACATATGTAAATCTATAGATAGTTTATAATATGAAAAGTAAAAACCAATCGTTAATCTGCTGATTTACAAGTGCAACTAACAATTTACTAATTCTGTACAGGTTTCACGTGGTCTATGGAAGAAATATGGAGACAAACGGATCATCGATACGCCAATAACAGAAATGGGTTTCGCTGGAATTGCAGTCGGTGCAGCTATGGCTGGTTTGCGTCCTATTTGCGAGTTCATGACCTTTAACTTCTCAATGCAAGCGATCGATCACGTGAGTTGCACGCACCTGTTGCATCTGATACCCCAACCGCCCACACACGATCCACAAGCAGTAGCTTAACTACTCATATTATCTCATGTATTTAACAAACTCAATTGAACTCCAACAATAATGTGCAATTTGCCCGGCCAGCTGAATATCAATTCAAGTTTGTCACACGATCTGTAAATTATAAATCGCCTCCACTTTAACGTAATGGGATAATATGGGTCTCAAACTCAAGTTGAGCTGCTGCTGAAGTACAATCTAACTGTCATTCGGGCATTTAGCCAAAACGATTGATTGACTAATTCCACCCATATTATCCAATTATGTGCAGGCCAATTCGCTTAAGCCCGTCAGCGACCTCAGATTGCGCCCAGTCGTCAGGCCACAGATCATTGGTGATTTTCCAATGTTGCACAAGAAGATCATTGAGAGTCCGCGCTCCAGCCTCTTAACGGAAATCAATGACATCTTGAATAGAAATCGAGTTGGTCAAACAATCGCACCACCGCTGGACAGGAGCAAACCCGACAAAATGGAAGCAGCGCGTTTGATTGTAATTCGGCGGCGAAAGATGAAGAAGCATAAGCTAAAGAAGCTGCGCCGCAAGATGAAATTCGAGTGGGCCAAGGTGCGACAGCGTCGGGAAATGCGCAAAGAGAAGGCGTTCCAAGCTCAGCTAATGTCACAGATCAAAGAGGCAGAGAGTTTCAATGCGGAACAGTATGTAACAGAGGTACTGCGGCAGGCCAACGAGGTGCCGCTACCACGTTACTGGAAAGGACGTCGCCTGCCAGCGTTTATCATTAAGCAGAAACTAGGCATTAAGTAAACAGTTAAGAGCGAATAAATAAAATGCGAGTGTACAAACTTGAATTGATATGAACTGATCATGAATGATAGATCTGTATCCCTCACTCTCTCTCTATCTCTCACTTAATTTTATATGAGATGAATATTTATTATCCTTGCTTTTGCCTATAGGTCATCAATTCAGCTGCCAAGACATTTTACATGTCCGCAGGAGCCGTTAACGTACCAATTGTATTCCGTGGGCCCAATGGGGCGTCAGCTGGTGTTGCAGCGCAGCACTCTCAATGCTTTGCCGCTTGGTACGCCCACTGCCCGGGATTGAAGGTTGTGTCACCCTACGATACGGAAGATGCACGCGGATTGCTCAAGTCTGCCATACGTGATCCCGATCCAGTGGTTGTCCTGGAGAACGAGCTGATGTATGGTGTTGCATTTCCGGTTGATGAAAAAGTAACCGATGTCGATTTCTTGGTGCCCCTCGGAAAAGCAAAGATTATGCGGCCAGGAAAAGACATTACAATTGTGGCGCATTCCAAAGCTGTGGAAACAGCGCTACTTTCCGCCGCTGAACTAGCTAAAAAAGGCAAGTGATAAGACATAGCCTTACTGCATATGAAAATATTCTAATTCTCTTGTTTTGTAGGAATCGAAGCTGAAGTAATCAACCTGCGTTCCATACGCCCTCTAGACATGCAAACCATTTTCACTTCAGTCCGTAAAACGCATCACTTGATAACCGTGGAAAACGGCTGGCCACAACACGGTGAGTATCCGTCAATATTCAGTTATCCTAACCACATATATAATTATCTCTATCCGTTGATTGACAGGTGTGGGTGCTGAGATCTGTGCTCGCTTTATGGAGGATCCAGCTTTCTTTGAACTAGACGCCCCTGTTTGGCGATGCTGCGGAGTTGATGTGCCCATGCCATACGCAAAAACTTTGGAGCTTAATGCACTGCCTCGCGAGCCCGATGTGACTGCAGCCGCCCTCAAAGTGCTGGGCAAGAAATAAACAAGCATACAACAAGCACACATCCGAATCAGGCTTACTAAATTATTTGTCCTTCACGAAAAAAACGATGGGCTTAAGTTGTCCAAATTTATCAATGCTCGGCAAATCGAACAGTGAAATTATAAATGTTTATTAATGGGAGCGGATCGATAGTTTTGTTTCCCTGTCTAGCATATTAGTCTAATTATACTATTTGGCAAATGAAATCTCTGCAAAAAATAAAAAACAAAACTACGATTGAAGGGATGTTGAATTTATTGATAACAAAAATAATTTAATTGGCGCTTCAAAGTACGAGTTCGCAGCCCTGGCCGCTGCGAGCTGTTTACCAACACTAACTGCAGCCATACAATGTTATACAGCACTTCTGTTTTGACAGGAGGAAAAAGTATCAATAACAAAAACAATTATCAATGAAAAATCGACTACGCATATTAAGTGCAATGATTTGTCTGTAATGGCAAATAGCTCCAGCTCCGATGAAAGCTCCAAAGCACCTGAGAACTTTCAATTATCAAGCGCATCCACAAATGATGACGAAGACGAGAACGACGTCGATGTCTGCGATGGCGTTGCCTATACAAAGAAGCATCCAAAAGGCGATGTGCGCGTAAAGCCAACAGCTGGTATCGCCTCCACAGGTCTGCGATGTCCGCTCTGCTGCAGGCAACAGCGACGACTGCATTGCAGAACTTGTGTTAAAAATGGAAACATTACTCACAGCTCTGCCTTGGAATCCGAAAGGTTGTTACTCATTCGCACAGAAAAACCACATTGCACACACACATACACATCTGCGTTGTTTTAAACTAAATACTTTTATTTTTAATTGTTGCAGCTTAACGGAGAAACAGCAGAAGTACATTAACCTGCAGGCGGGCCTGAAGACATACAGCAATAGATACGAGCACCTTATACAACAGCACAAGTGCAATGAAAATCGAATGATTGCGATACGTGCGAAGCGGGAGCAGGTGCAGTTGCTGCAACAGCTGATCGGCAGCAAGACGAATCGCTTGCAGACGTTAAGCGAGCAGAGGGATGAACTGCGTCAGGCAAATGCTGAGAAACGCAAGAACCTGCCCAAGTATCCCACCAAGGTGAAGATGCTGGAGGATTATGTGATCGATCGTTCGATGCGCATCGATAAACTACGCCAGCAGCACATGAATCTATTGGATAGCATCAAACAAACGGCTCGACGTGATATTCAACAGCTTGTCACCTATATATTTCCCATCTCGGAGGTGGTGTTGAAGGACGAGCAGCAGCGCAAGGTGTGCGCCGAGCGTAGCGAAGATGCCGAAACAATCGCAGCTCTGGCTGATGCCAAGAACACATCATACATACGTGGTAAATGGGTGTTCCATGGCAGTGGCATCAGCGAGGTGCAGTACCGCATAGTGGGACCCTCGCTGCCTGCCAACGGCGACTACTCTGCCTACCTGGACTATCTGGCCGACAACAAAGAGGATGTGCCCAAGACCACGGCCAATGAGATAACGCCCAGTCGTGTTGAGGCCTACCGCATCATGGGCGCACTCACCTACACGGTGCAGCTGACGCAGCTGCTCAGCTTCTATCTGAACGTGCGGCTGCCACACAAGGTCGCCTACAGCGACTTCTGTCGCAAGATGCGCAACGAGGAGCAGTTTCTGCGAAAGGTGTGTCGCGTCAACAACAATATTATGTATCTGGCCTACTCTCAGCAGGTTAAGCTGCGCGCGCTCAATGAACAGCATACGCTCGAAAATATTTTGGCCATTTTGGATTTGGAGCGCAGCGATTTGGGGCGCTACGGTCATCTGGACGTGGCCAATGCGCCGCTAATGAAATCAGTGGACTCGCTCCTCATTGGCATTGAGACGGCAACGGAATCTGAATCTGAAGGTCTGCATTTGCTTAAATATTAATTTGATCAATAGAAAATATTAATCGATGATCTTTTAGACGAAAGCTCGTTGCGCCTGGATTGGGAGGCGGTACCCAGCGTCAGCGTGGCTCAGCCAGAACTGACAGAGTCCAACCTGATACCTGCGGTGGCACAGCAATCCACCATAGCCATGGCAGCTAATCGCCTCACCTCAATGCTACGCTGGATCAAGTGAACCAAATTACCTGTCCTCGAGTGTGTCTGTTATATTTTACAAATTAGGTTAGAGGGGTCGAGCAAGTGGATGGGCGGGTGGTTGCTGTTATTTGATGGCATGTTTAAGATGATAATCAACCATGGGAGAGCTATGTAAATACCCAATGGGATGGATATGTTAACCGTAATGTAGATAAGTTATGGTCACTTTGCTTGGGTGTCATTGATCGCTTCATTTTCATATGTGTAGAGGACGAACCGTTGTAGGTGGGCACTAATTTTGAGTAGAATATACGCTCTTTGTTTTACTTTTTTATTACATAACTTATTTTTCTTTTATTTAATAAAAATTGATTCACTATAAATAACTAGATACAACTCGATTGATTCTTAACCTCTTTCAAAGTACATACTTTAAGTTGGTGGACTTGATATTCTTCAAAGAATTATAAACGAAAATACAAAACAAATACGAAATCATCACATCGCCTGCGCAGACACAGACACACACACACACACGAACACACCGAAGACGGCATACCCTTATTTCGTACATGCATCACTTGATTCTTGAGCGTTTCCTGCATCTTTTTGTGATTGATGATTATTGGCAGTGATGCAGACCCACAGTATCAATTTAAAATGACTAATTCTTATGAAACCTACAAACTAAGCGTCTTAATTCTCTCCCCTTGAGGAGGTATACATATATATCCTCATATATGTATAGATCTGTAAATGTTGAACTCAGAATAGTTTAGGGAGCGTGTGGTGTGCTATGCATATATCTAAATGAATTTTGTGGGCAGTTGAGCCGCTTGCGCCGTGTTTGCTGTCATATCGCCAATCCCATCGACAGCGGCTGAAGGCGGCGGGGAAGGCTTCAGAAATACTTGTGGCAGTGTTTGTGGTGTTGTTGCTGTTGTTGTTGCAATGGGTTGTGCTGAGGCACTGGACATCTGATTAGTGGAAGCCAGCGAGCCATTCAACAATCCCAGCTGCACATCATACGCATCATATCGGGCGGCAGAGGCACTCATCGAGGATAACACCAAGGCGGCGGCCACAGCCTGCTCGTGATTATAGAATGCCGACACCGACACCGATTGGGGCTGTGTGGCATTCCCCGTATGTCATTGATGCGTTGTTGGTTTCCCGGCACCCGCTCCAGCACTGGCGCCCGCACCACCGCTGGTGCCAGCACCGGAGAGTAGCGAACACGGTGACCATTTTAGTTGCTTATCGAGCGCCGATAATTCCGATAATTTCTTCATAATCTGTGGACTGCGGCTGAGATCGTAGCCAAGCGTTTCCACCGTATTAGTTGCCGCAGTAGCGCGTATTACTCCAGTTCCCATCTTAGGGGCAGTATTATTATTGTTGTACACATACATGTTTTCCAAATTGAACCCAAGCGTACCATTCACTCCATTGGGCACCGTGCCCGTCGTGCTAATCACTGACGTGGGTTTGCTCTTCTGGCTGGCCTTCGACCTGGACTTGGTTTGATTTGGGAGAATCTGCTTCACCACCGCCGGATAGACGCCCACAATCTCCACACCGTCCGACTCGCTGCTGCTCTCGCAACGCACAACAGCCGGGGGCACTGGCGGCTGTTCCTTCGACACGGGAACGGACTGCCATTTATTGGCCGCCAGTTGCTGTGATGTCTGCAAGATATCACTGGGACTCTTATAGTCGTCCAAATTAATGACATGGGGCACGGGGCGTGATGCCATGATTGATGCTGTGGAATGTGCTGCAGTCTGTAGCAGACTATTTATGGGAGCGCCGACACTAACCGCCGTTGGGTTCATCGATGCGGCTGATATTAGGTTGTAGATGCTGTGATCCGTCTTAGTGGGCGAGGCCAGCTCCAGCATGCTAGCTGCTGCGGCCACAACTGCTGCATTCAATGCCGCTGCCTGCGCCGAGGTACTCGGCTGCGACATCAGTGTGTCCAACTGCGTCATCTGTGTCTGGGCCTGTGGCTGCTGTGGCTGAGGCGAGACTTGCTGTTTCTTCTTCTTTGGCGGCTTGCTGCCTTGTTTTGATTGTATTGTGCCGCCCAAGGCAGGGGTTTCCAGCTTGCGCTTCAGACTGGTCGACGAGGCACTTTTAACGGAATCTGTATCGGAATTGCCACACGAGCGACTCTGTGGGGCGATGACTGTGAGGTCCTCGAATTGCTTCAGGTAATTGTTGACAGCTGGCAGCGACATCGTCTCAATGCTAGTTGGAGCCATCGGCAAGGCGCTGCTTACCTGCGACATTTGTGCTAGGGTTGCCGCCAATTGCTTTTGGAACTTGATTTTGGGTGGCTTTGCGCTTGGCTTTGGCTGTGTCGTGGCAGCATTGGTGCTGGGTGGCAGTTCAAGTTTACGCTTGACACTATTAGATGAGGCACTTGTAGCTGAATCCGTATCGGAATTGGCACGCGACCGACTCTGTTCGGTCACCGTCAGATCATCGACTTGCTTCAGGTAATTGTTGGTTGCGGTTGTTTGTATTGCGGATGTGGTGACTGCAGTGGTTGTGACTGTGCCTAGTGATTGTTTCTTCGTTTTCTCTTTGAGCTTTTTGCTGGCATTCTTATGCCGCTCGATTTCGCGCTGCAGATCCTCGTAACGCATCCAGCCGGTTGCCCACACATCCACTATTTTGTCTTTCAGGTAGCCATTGATGAACTGCTCCAGTGAATCCTTTCGTTTGCCCAGCACTGCGTAAGACGTCCAGCGCGCTTGGTATACCTCGTAGAGCCTTTCGCGCAGCTCATTTGTCCACTGAAACTTTTTCCGTGGCATCTTTGGCGGATGCTCTGCGTTAACATCTGCCGCTCTAAAAGTTACAAATATAGTCAAAAACTAATTCATTGGGTAAAAGTTCAAATTTTATCTTACGCCAATTCCGCAAATTTATGAAGTTCGATCTCGTAATTGGCGATTGCTTTGGGCATCACCTCGGCGACCGCCTTGCGTAATCGCTCCAAGGCGTTTGTCGTCTTATTCTTCTCCTCCTTGGCGCGCAGCGCCTTGGCCTTGCGCAGTATAAA